TATATATATATATATATATATATATATATATCTGCTTTTGAGCAGATGTAGGATATGTGGGTGTGTATCATGTGTGCTGAAATTTGCAGATATATGGAGAGATAGTATTTGCTGCATTATTTCCTTGGCAAAAAACAGAATAATCGAAGTTTCTCATTAATTGTCAACTAGTTGAAAAACTAGAAAAAAATCTGTGTGTCCATAAATAGAAGTGCCAGGCATGTGTTCACAGGGAACAACTTACAAGAAATATTTTGTTTATTTATTGTTCTGAGATGGGATCTCACTGTCTAGGCCTTGGTGACTTGGAACTAACTATGCATGCCAAGCTACCCTCAGACTTGTGGCAATCCTCCTGTCTCTGCCTCCCAAGTGCTGGGATCACATACATGTACCACTACATCCAGCTTTATATTTGGTGAAATAACAAAGGTCAACAATTCACAGAGACATGCCACCGTGCACCTGTGGGTGTATGTGTGGCTCCCCTACTTTCTGTTTAAGATTGTAGGCACAGGGCTGGGAAGACACTGGGTAAAGTGTTTACCACCCAAACATGTACACCCAACTTAGAACACTCAAACCCATATAAAAGCTGGGCACAGTGGTGCGTATCTGTAATCCCAGTGTTCCTAAGTGTGATAAGAGACAGAGACTGGAGAACCCATGAGGTGCAGCTAGTCTGACATACGCAGCAACAAACAGGAGAGATGCTGTTCCAAATAAGGTAGAAGGCTAGGATGAACACTGAGGTTGTAATTTGACCTCCACGCGTGAGTCATGGCAAACTCCAAGGGAGAATCAGGGGTGGGGAGAATGGTCGTGGCTGTATGGCTGCTACACAGTAAATTGTACTGTATCTAGAAAGGACATTTATAATTTTTAAATAAAATATTTAAATGAAATACCTGGAAGTTCCTATAGTCTCAGAACTTCCAGGAATGCATGCTTCACATGTCCCCTCTGAGCCAGTCTGACCTGAGTCACTGACTTTTGACCTGTGAAGCTTCCCATGGGTCCTGAGCCTCCTTCCCTGGAAGCCTGGTGGCATCTCACATCCTTTCAATGTCCTGTCTGCAGGTTGTACCAGTCAGTCAAGGTGATGTACTCTGTTGGCATCTTCTTCACCTATGCCCTCCAGTTCCATGTCCCAGCTGAGATCATCATCCCCTACGTCATCTCACGGGTGTCTGAGAATTGGGCTCTGTTCGTAGACCTGACCGTCCGCACAGCCTTGGTCTGCGTGACCTGTGAGTTGGGGAGATGATACTTATTCACTCAAACCTGTGACATGTGTCCTACCCTGTAAGGTGCCTACCCAGCAGCCTTGCCGCCACCACTTGCCTCTGATCAGCCACTTGCCTACCTGCTGCTGGCCACTGTACTTATGTGTCTAACACTCACACCAACCCAGTATTGCTACCAACTGAGGGAGTCATGGCCCAGAGAAATCAAGTCACATCCCCACATCACACAGCTCCATGACAGAATGGGGGATTTGGTCTCCCAGGGCCTGTCTCCTTTCCATTTTATGTATGGTCAAGTCCCTGGGTCATCAATTATTTAGTTGTAAAGAAATTTACACATTCAATTGTAAAGAAACTCTTTTCTCTTCATTCACCCACCCTTTGATTCACAGTGAATATTGCTTAGGAAACATTGGAAGAAGGGCTGGGAAATCCTTTCTCTGGAACATTCTAGGAAGAGAAGATCAAAAGAGGTGCCCAGGAAGAAAGAGCAAAGGAACTGGGGATGTTTGACCTAGAGAAGCGAGGGCACTGGACTTCCAGTGTTTGATTATAATACAGGCAGAAGAGACCCTTAGTGTGCGTAGGATTCAGTGAGAGACCCTATCTCAAGGTAATGAGGCACAGGGTGCTAGATGATGGAGCAGGATACTTGATCCCCTCCTCTGGACTCCACACTCATACAGGGCGTGTTGAACTTTACAAAACACACACACACACACACACACACACACACACACACACACACACACTTTTTTTCTCTATAAAAAAATGATAATTTTAGAAAAGGGTTTCGGGGCAGACAGGGTCCAGAGCCATGGTGCCTGACCTAATCCTTAAACTCCAAAGCCATGCTTGTTGGGGACTCCCCTCTTTGAGGCATACTCAGTGAATCTACATCTCTCTCTCTCTCTCTCTCTCTCTCTCTCTCTCTCTCTCTCCAGGTTTCTCAGCCGTTCTCATCCCTCGCCTAGACCTGGTCATCTCCCTGGTGGGCTCTGTGAGCAGCAGTGCCCTGGCCCTCATCATCCCGCCCCTGCTGGAGATTGCCACTTTTTACTCTGAGAATATAAGCTGTGTGACCATTGTCAAGGACATCATGATCAGCATTCTGGGCCTCTTAGGGTGTGTATTTGGGACATACCAAGCCCTCTACGAGATGACTCAGCAGGCCCGATTTCCCATGGCTAACTCTACAAGTGGCTACACATAATTGCCTATTTTTATTTGAAAAGTTCATCCTTCCTTCCATCCTCTGTTGGATTCCCATTATACACGTTCATCAAAACCCAGCATCTCTATGTTACTTAGTGGCTTCTTTATCTTCCAGGAGGAACATGGGTGCTGGTGACTCAGGTCGGGACTGATCCTTGAAAGGTGCCCTGCTATTGGCTCAGAGTTTCTTGGACAGTTCTTTTGTACCTTGAAACCCAAATCAGGTTATATCTTTGATACCATCAGCCTCAAAAAGTCAGGCAAGGCTGTACACACCTACAGTCCCAGTGCCAGAGAGAAGGAGAGGCAAGCAGAGACAAATAGATGCCTAAAGCTCATTGGCCAGCCAGCCTAGCCAAATCAGTGAGTCTGGGTTCACTGACAGAGCCTGTATCTCAAGCGTAAAGGTAGAATGCAATCAAGGAAAGATAAGTGATATCAACCTTACACTCCACATGCTTGTACATGTACACACAGATACACACACCCACACTGATAAAGCACATGTACTACATACACACAACCAACGTGGGAGAAACAAAAAAGAAAGTGGGTGGACGTACAGAGATGACTCATCAGTTAACAGCACTTGCTGCCCTGGCATAGCACTTGAGGTCAGTTCCCAGCTAAAAAAAGCCTGTAACTCTAGCTCTAAGGCATTCTGACACCCTCCTCTGGCCTTGTGGGTGCACACATACACATATTTATGCTCATGCGCTCGCGCACGCGCGTGTGTGAGCGCGCGCGCGCGCGCACACACACACACACACACACACACACACACACTTCTATAAATTAAAAGTAAATAAATATTTTTTTAGAAAAGAAAATGGATGGCACACCCCATACTCCCTGATGCTCCCTGAAAATCACATAAATGCAAGAGTGGTTGTTTTCCCTATGTTCAGAATGTATTTTTGAAGCATCAGGCTTAGACAGTGTGCACTGAGGGAATATGAGTCTCCTATTTGGATAAGAGTCTCAAGAAGAAAGTAGCCTTATTTATCTCCTGCCACTGAGTCAAAATGTATCCCTCAAACATTTGAAAAAATCATTTCCCATAAATTAATTACCCTGCTGCCCTGGCAATCTGAAGAGAGGTAGAAATAAATGCTAGCTTCTTTGGAAGTTTTCATTACATGTCCATCCTTCAGAGAAGGTACATCCCCTTATTACCTAAAAGGAGCCACTTTCCCATCTATACTGCTTCCTTCTTCCTCTTTTCCTCCCTCCTCCCTTCCTTTACTTGTCTTCCCTTCCCTCTCATCTCGCCTCTCCTCCCCTCCCCTCCCCCTGCCTGCCTACCCCTCTTTCCTCCTAATTCTCTCCTCTCCCTCCTGTGGAGAAAGAGATTTTTATCCTCTGCAAGGATTATTGACCTACTTTTTAAATAACATTTAGCTGGGGGTGGGGGGTTAAAAAGACAGTGTTTTCTGCAAACACACTGCTACTGTGTTTCTTGTCCAAGGACAATTTTGTAATGTGGAAGTCTTGATGCATGTAGCACTCATGGGCATTTGTCCCAAGCATCTTTTGTGTTTGAAAAGATTAACATAAAATAGTAGAAAGTTAGAAAAACACATCCTATGTAATTCAAATAATGAATCCAGAAAAGCTCTCATGCCACCTGGTTTAGAGCACACTGCTGGGTAACTTTGGCTTATCATAAGTAAAAGCTGGCTAAAAACAAACAAAACAACAGGTGAGCCAGCCAGGCATGGAGTCTGTACACACAGGAGGCTGAGGCAAGAGAATAACAAAATCAAAGTCTGGGTTATGGAGGGGGTTCAGGGTCACCTGTGCAACAACTTAGTGAGGGCCTGTTGCCAAAATAAAAAGTGAAGGCGAAGGGGCTGGGGCATGGTTCAGGGGCAAAGCTGTTTGTTGCCTGGTATGTGGAAGACCTGAGGTTAAATTCCCAGTAGAGCAAAAGGCAAACTAACAGAATGATGTGAATCACAGCTGGATAAAAGCATCATGGGAAATTAACACTGGAGAACAAGCTCCTTTGTGGACACAGCGGAGCACTGGGACTGGCGCCCAGGGCCTTGTGCATGCTAGGAAAACACTGTACTAATGGAGCCACCGCCCAGGCTTATGGTGCTTCTTTGAAGTTCTTTCTAGAGCTTTCCCCTTGCATTCCTAACCTATCTAAGTGTCTGTTGCAAGAGGCCTATTTTCTTGCCTGTCTCTGCTAGTGACATGGCTCCTTAGGAACCACAATCACTCCTGACTAGATTTAAAGTGAGAGACTTATGATTTTTTACATTTGTTTACGAACTTAAAATATCATTGTATGGTTATGAGCTGAGTAGCGGTTTAAATGAGAATGGCCCCCAGAGGCTCATAAATTTGAAGGTTTGATCACCAGGGAGTGGAACTATCTGAGAAGGATTAGAAGGATTAGGAGATTTGCCCTTGTTGTTGGAGAAGGTGTGGCCTTATAGGAGGAGGATGTCACTGGGAGTGGGCCTTGATGTTTGAAAAGTCCATAGCTGACCAAGTCATCTCTGTCTGTCTACTGCCTGTGGATCAGGACGTAGTGCTCCCAGCCATTTCTCCAGCACCATGTCTGCCTACTTGCCACCACACCCCCTGCTGTGACGATAATGGTCTGAGCCTCTAAAACTATAAGCAAGTCCCAAATTAAATGTCTTCTTTTATAAGAGTTGCTTTGATCGTGTTGTCTCTTCACAGCAATAGAACAGCGACTAAGACAAGCTGGCTAATTTTTTAAGTGTGTGTGGTATGGTGTTGTTAGACCCCCGAAAACTCAAGTATCCGGGGTCTCAGGCCAGGTTCGCGGTCACCCCAATCACCAGGCAGATTCGAGAGCTTGCTGCAAACTGCACGAGGCTTTATTGTAATTTAACGAACTAACCCCATGTTAGCTCGGGTCTTTCACCCACC